TCTGGTGGATTCTAGATGATTGCCTAGGAAATCCTGCTTGGGCAGTCAGCTTACTGTTCCGTAATGGTGTATTCCATATGAAGGGGGAAGTTGGGTGGGTAATATCGACCCAAGTGTGACTAAATTCATGGCGCGAGGTGGGGCGTTTTTAGCTTAGCGGTTAGAGCGTTAACTTCCGGTAAAGGCCTTCTCTAATACGCGGGTTCAAATCCCGCCTAACGCCTCGAGGTTTTTCACAATTGGGTCAACTCTAATTAAGCAAATCTGCCAAACCCTTAATAATTAAGAATGTCATCAATAAAATTGTAGCCTGCGTTCCGTGGACCTGCCCCATTTCATAGGTTCAACTGTTAACCGTGCTGCATCGGGGTATGACCCAGAAAGGACCACAAATAACTCAGCCTTACTACATTTGAACAATGGCCATAGCGACTCTACTTTTTTACTTGTGTTAGGAGGAGCCAGCTAGCAGACAGCCAGCATGCAACCAGCGAGCCGCGGTCGCGGCAGGCTATCGATCGGTTTACACACGGCGAACGCAGAATGGCAGTTGATCAATCAATAATTGAAAATTTAAGCTTCAGCCAGTCGTTGAGTCTCAAACCAATCGTGTCGCTACTAACGCCAGGATAGTATCTGATTGGACTGATGCACATAGCTTTATATGCGTTTGTTGCTCTAAATGTGTTGTACCAACTACGCTCAAAGACTTCTGCTTTTGCGTTCTTCTTGTCGTGTTCTTCCTTGAGGACTCACACTAGGCGTAAGCTGGCGGTTACATCTCGGCTTTGGCTACCTTCACAACAAGCTGAACAGATTTAAACAACACATTCGTTGCGGGCAACATTTTGCGATATTCGAAACTTACGAGTTATAACTGAGCACCTCCTCTAAGAACTAGCTGCCAGTATACTTTGTCACCAGAGGAGCCCAAAATGCGGGGGGTGGGACATAATAGACAGCAAAATTAGAGCGGGGCAATAGCAGTTACCTTGCCACAGGCGCGACAGTGATGTTTTCTCCGCGTGACGGTGAAGGTCTTGTAGCACAGCGCACACATGCTAGCCTGTTCGTCCTTGACCCACTCAGCAGCTCGTTTCTCATTGGGTGAGCCCGAATTCTGCGAAGAAGATTTGAAAAAAGGGTTGACGTTGAGGCGTCACTGAGACGTCACAAAGAATAAGTGACATACTAAAGTGCACGGTGCAACTTGCGGCAACACAGGCTGTTGGCCGTAGATTAGAAGTGAGCAACCAGAAAAGGGACCAAATATTGGTGAAAAACATGGGTAAATTTAGGATTTCAAAGAATTACTTAGGAACCAAAAAACGCAACTATTACCCGGAAATCACAGGCTCCTTCTGGTAAGAGCGTGTTCAATTCTCGATTTTTTAATAGTATTCTATCAGAGCCTTAATCGGTGCTACGTACTAATGGAAATAATTTCAGTTATTGAGCCTATGCAGTATTCTTAAGGACCCTAACATTCTGAGTAAGACGGAGAGGTTAGATTTACTGAGAATAAATTCGAAAGTAGAACCACAGCGGCTGAAAAACAATATTTTTCGACTTCTCCAAAGGAGGCAATTTGAACCGATATTTGTACAGTTTGCAAAGATGTCCGTCAGAGAATTCAGACGAGCAATTGGCGAGTATAAATAAGCCCTTGGTAAGTTCTTATCGGGCCAGTAAACCTAAAACACAAGAAGGTGCGCACGCAAGGTGACTGTTTTACTTTAATGGAAAGTCGTCTACTCCGAGTGGAATATAAACTGGCGGTGCGAACCGACTGTTATGTTTATTTCAGGAATAAACACAAAAGAGGACGAATAAAAAAATAGAATCCTTTTACCGTTACCAGCCTTGCGTTGATCTTCGTATACTTTCAAATACTTCCATGTCAAGTTGGAAGGCTTTACCTATTATACACCAAAGTGTTTTTTTAAAAAGCTCTCCGATTACGAAATCATATTTAGCTAAGTGCAAGTAAGTATTTGTCGTCATCCTAATAAACCATAAGTTTATAAAATTGCATTACTGGGTTCAAACAGGGAGTCATGAACCGCGGGCTAGCAACAGAGCAAAAATACCCATATTAAGAAATCTAAATCAGCTTGAAGGCGTTATACTGTGCTTGCGAGCGTCTCGTGGCTACCTTTAGGATAGCTGAAGTGATACCGATTTCCCGTGACGTGACGCACACACACAGGCCGTGAAACTTCAAGTCCTAAGAAAGTTGCGCCAGAAGACCGTTGTGAATGTTTGCCAAGTCACCAAGACAACTGAGGGCGTAAAGCGAAACTCAGTAGTTGGTTGGGCACAATAATGTTTGAGCATAACCGACAGCCAAGCCGGTTCCTCCCTGTCAACCGAAAAAGACTATAGATACACTGTGGAGAGAGAGGCAGGCTAGAGACACTCCTTATTTGTCCCCGGGCTAGAGGTCGAAACGTTTACTGGTGCTTTACGGCTGCGCTCAGTGCAGCGTGCAGTTACAGGGCAGAGCAGAATGCAATGCGGAGCGGGAGTGAAATAACGGCCCCGTGAAGTGAAATTGATAGGCGCTAGCGTTGATATTAGTAAAGTGGCTAGCAGGCACTGGGTAACCCAAAGAGCCCGGCAGCTTAATGGTAGACCTATCCACTTGCATTCACAGCATGAAAATTTGCTTTTATAAAAGAGTTCGAATAAAGCAGACACAGAAGGACAAGTATCTGCCACCTTTTCGCTCCTAGTACAGTGGTACGTCGGTTAACGAGTTGAAGCCGTTCCGGCAGCGACCTCCTCATGTGAAACGGTTGTCTTGTAAAACGTAGCTAACCAAACTGCGCCAGTTCACTGATTGGCTTCAGGCGACTGAGGACCCATGCTCTGGGAGCAAGACGCAACGGTGGACGACGACAATTCGACCGTCTTTCTCAACGATGTCCATCACGAGCTTCAGCGGGCTGAGGTGACGCGGTGACTTCCACCGAATTATAGTGAAAGTAGACTTGCGGAGAATCTACCCCACTCTCTCACCTTAACCCGATGTCAAGAT